CCCCCCCCCCATGGCAAAGCTCATGCATCATAGAGGCAGGAAAACCTTGTTTTCAAAGGCCTTATCGTTTCCGAGCGTAGCACGACTGTAATGTATGTAGCAGTAATCTGTTTAGTAAGTCATTATCTTTTACTACTTACATTTGGAACAATGTACGTTGTACAAGTTATGCAATGATGCGGAAGATCGATCATGCTGGATCGTATTTTAATAAATAATTACGTTTTAGAGTTTTTATATTAGTTCAGATACGACAGTTTTCTTCTTCTTGTTTTTTGTTCCTGGACGTCCAACGGTTTATTTGAATATCTACATGCCATATGTATACCTGTATGATTGTATGTCTTTCTGGATGTAGTACATCTGTCTATTCATGAACAACACTAGCGCCTAAACCTTCACAGGATTTTTCCAAAATGTCCTCCCCGGTCGATCTGGCCCTACTCGAGGCTTGCAAATTTGAAATGAATTCTTTGACATTTGAAGGTAACTCACATGAAGCCTATTTTCTAAACTGTCTCGAATATGGCTCCAAATTTACATTATCGCCTTAATTCGTAAAAAGAGAAAGTGCGTGGGAAGTCGACGATTTTCTGGAGAAAAACGTATTGCTGGGCTCTAGACACCAAAAAGTGGATAAATCTTGTTCCTAAAAATAGTAAATTGCTTCCTCTAACGCGTCAGAATCCATTTTTGTGGGTCTCTGATACCGAAAAATCGAGTACTAATGGTAAATATGTCTTTCCTTCTGTCTGTCCGTCGGTCCTCCTGCCTTACCACTTTTGTGTCGTCGCCAGTGCCTAAACCGTTCTGACGATTTTCTCTAAATTTGGAATTCCTCGGTCGATATAGACGAACTCAAGGCCCTGCCAGTTTGAAACGGTATTTTGATTTTGTGTGTGTGTGGGGGGGGAGACCTTGCCGCTTTTCTTCCTTTAACTTTTTTGCAAATTTACTGACATATGACTCACAAAATCGTACAATACGACTAATTTCAGTCATTACTAGATTGTAGTAACGCCAATTCTGGTACGTTTCCGTAAGGACACTTCTGCTGCCTCGCCCATATTTGCACTTTCACGGACTCCCACTGTGAGCAACTCCGCTATCTGTCACTCGCCCCGGGCTTCCCCACCCCTCCTCTTTCACAGCAGCATTTCCGAACGTGCAAATATTACACACATTACAGAAATAAATAACAACCCCATCCATCCATCTAGTGCGCTTTTGCCCTTAAAGTAATAATTTAGAGTATGAATAATGTTTTGCTAACAATTTGTCCACGTCTATAGAATTATGAAGATACATTTTTCATAATGAAATGTGTTCATCAAAAATAGATCTTGAAATAAGTAAATGTTCAATTTTTCGAAAATATGTGTTTTGTTTGCGTAATTTTGCGTCAAACAAAGGCAATTTATAAATTTTAAATAATTGTTTTCTCAGAAACGGCTCCAATTTTTTTTTTTTTTTTTTTTTTAGGTGTTTTGTATTTCCCCACCATCTTCCCGGCTGCAATCTACCGGCACCTATTTTACTCATTTCCTCTAGTTATGGATCTGCGAATAGTAAAATTGAAATATTCCAGAACAATTTTTACTTGCTCACACTTACTTCGTAAAAAGAGAAAGTTATGTGATTGTGCTCTGAAAAACTCTTTTGCCGGGTCCTGCTAAAAAGTGGATAAACGCTGTTGCTAAATGTAGAAAAATCCTCTAACACGTGATGCAGCCAAAATTCATGTTTTGTACGTTTACCGAAAAATCGATTGACAGCAAAATGTCTGTCCGTCTGGGATCAACGCAAGCGCCTAAACCGTTCAGCCTATTTTCTCCATAATTGATATTCCGTGATCGATCTGAACGACCTGGAGGCTTTGAGAGTTTCTAATGGGTATTTTGATTTTTGAGTTTTTTGTTTTTATTTTTTACATAAAACGAGCATATATGTTTTTATATCTCTCCCACCGTTCGATCCACACGGCGCTTGTGTGGCATAGTGGTATTAGTGTCGGCAATTTTAACTTTTGAGGATCTGTGTTCGTGTTTCATAGCGGAAAAAGTTTCGCTAGTATAGTAGTTTAATATGACGGGGAAGTTAGAAATAAAGTGAGAAAGTATGTGCATTCGTAGCACCACTAGTTTATTTATATAAGAATGTTTTGTAAAATAATGTAGGGTAATGATAGAGCAAATAGACTTATCATATATTGTTAGAAACAATTTTGCCCGGTAATAATAATAATAATAATAATAATAATTATTATTATTATTATTATTATGTTATTCTTAATAATTAATATGGATATAAATATTCCATGAATTAAAAAATGTGCTTGTCACGTTTGTCATGTTATCTTTAGTGAAGTATTTCAACTTCAAGTCCTTTCACTATTTCGCATCGTCATATTTCAAGTTCCTCTCCACCGGAATTTGGCAGCAATCCAACTCAATCTTTTTAAGTGCTAGCCTGAGGAAGGTTACTCCAAGACCACTACTACTCGTATTAATGTTTGCAAAAACAAACACGCACGCACAGACGGACGTCTTTCCCATTCCTTGAGATGTAAAATTATCACTGTAAACTATCTGAAAGTCTGATTAACATTCATGAAATATATTGATAATAATGGCACTATTTTATTAAGACCGAAAGCAGAAAAGGTTGGGTCGGTTGGCAGTACTGTTAAATGATGACTTTCAGTAATTGCCTGAACACGTGATGTTTCATGTAAAAGTCCCGAAGTTTTTCTTTTTTTTTTAAGTCGAAAGAGAGAAGCGAGGGAATCCCCCACAAGTATCGACGCAGTAAAGGGGACGCCTCTTTCTGCATTGCTTACATCACCAGACGGGAGCAGCTGGGCAACTTGCCCCATGCCCGGAGGTTATGCTATGCCACGCCGCTTTGTTATCAGTACGGGCAAATTTTAATAAAATGTAATTTTTTCCTTTTCACATTAGAACAATGCCTTTTAATAAAGAAATTAATTTTATGTTAAGACAAAAGGAAATTACCCATCTTTATATGTAATGTTTTGCATTTTTCGTCGGTTTCGACTAATAAGTCATTTTTTACCGTTTTGCGTCTTCTTTTAATGCATTTTTCGCTAATTTTATTGATTTTAATATATTAATGGTACTTGCTTGAAATAAGATTTACGAAATGCAACAAATGTTCTTCACAGAAATCCTGAATAGCCTATTCGATTTCTTCGTTCAGAAATTGTATTGTCAGCAATAGTGAGTATGTAATCCAAGGTTACGATCGATTTCGGAATAACTAAAGACAGATTTCCTGATAAAGAATAGTTGAAACTAAAAGTTAGAAACGTGAGTTAATTCACTTGAACGAATAGAAGAAGCCTTGATTACATCAGTAACAGCTTGAATTGTTCATCCTAACTGGTTTCGTTCACATTTTTTCATTCAAAGACATTTTTCGTCAAAAGATGAAAAGAGACAAAGACGTTATTTTTCGTTCAAAGACGTTCATTTACGTCTTTTAGGGCGTTTTAAAATCTTTATAAGAGTATCTTATTGATCATTGTTGGTGATGTTTTAGGTCATCGAAGTCTGTCTCCTAGTTATAAGAATACTTTTACAGGTATGATAAAAGTAAGTATACTAGTAGTTATTTTGCCGTTATTTAAGTATATAAGCTTAAATAGCATACTTTTTCTAAGCAGGAATGGATCCACAGGGAGGGAAATGAAGGAAATCCCCCTTTAACTTGTCACAAAACTTTCAAGAACAAATATTTTCGGATAATCATTAAAACGAAGAAAATCGTATCGCAGCATGAGCTGAACATAGCTTGCGACATTTAACAAAATCTGTAATGACACATTCGACTAAAGCACTTTTAATTTCTCTTTCCAAAATTTGTCTGTGGAATCCGCCAGGACGTCGCAAGTACCCACGACTATCCACTATTCACAAACACATACTATCCACTACTCAACCTCG